TACATTTATATGACTGAGAGAATATCCTTGGAGTTCCCACCATCCCAACCAGATGTAGACCAGATGTAGAGAAGATGCTTGCATCATGTGATCTCAAGTCAGACTCCAAATAGAATAGCAGGCAGGCTAACTTATGTTGCTGAGTAAGCCCTGAATATGCTGTCCCAAAGGTGCTTTTTCCAAAAGGCAACTCGGCTTTCTTGTTTGTTTGATTTTTTCCTTTGAAAACATTTCGCTTCTCATCGAAGAATCTTCTTCAGTTAATCTTGGATGAGAAGTTAAATGTTTTCAATGGGGGGGAAAAGTTCAGTTGGCTTTTGAGAAAAGTATCCTTGGGACAACTATGATTGTGAATCTCCATAGACAACCTGAAGATGCAGTTTAATGTGACCATGCTATGCCCCCTTATTTTCTGGCAGGACCAGATCATTTTTCAGCACTGAAGATTCTTGGCTTTCCTATAGGCTTCCCACTCTGTTCTCACAAGCATAGAGAAGGATGATACCACAGATAGGCTTGTCACCATGCTTGAATAGTGGCATCAGAAGCAAAAAATAAAAATACATCCATATATGTTTGGAATGCAGCTGTCTTTGAATCTACCATTCTTGAGAAAGTTTTGTAGATTATTCATCGCATTTCAAGATGCGAGAATGAGCAATAGCCCCCCATAACCAACCCTGTAGATAAGAACACTGGCATCCCCATTTATTAAATAAATAAATAAAAAACCTTGCTAAGTATTGTCAGAGATAAAATGCACTAACATTTACTAGGAAATAAATTCCTAATATGGTTTTATATATAAACTTACTGAAGTAGGTCCCAGTTGGATTTAATGCTGACTAGTGCTCTTAAGGTTGATGAATGTGCGGTATAGCTTTTGGATGTTTCCTTAGGAATGTTTGATTCTCTTTATTGAATAAAATGTTCTGAATGTACAATTGATCTACCCAAATTTTTATTAATGGCAAGTCCTAGTGTATAGGAGCTAGCTAGACCACTCTTGAAATGATTTTACTGTCTGGCTTTGAAAGATCCTTGGTAGTTTTAAATTACAGTGGTGACAGCATAGCGGAGATTAATGACCTGGTACAGTGTGTCTTATGAAGAAAAAGATAGGGAAGTCATTTATACCCTATGACAAAACCTGTTCTTCAGATGTTCCTTTAGCCATCATGTTCTTCCTTCACAGCAAAGTAGGGCTAGAGGGAACAGGACAGTCTGAAATTTTGTTTTGAATTGCTATGTTTGCTTCTTTACATAATTTGGATAAAGGTATGATAGTCAAGAAGATCGACTGATTTTTTTTTTTTAAAAAAAAGTTGCAATATGTTTATCTCTTAGGCTTCATTTTGTAGAGCAGCAAATGCCGTACATATGTGTTGAGAAAAAAAGGAAATAAAAAGTTATGCAATTGATGGGTTTATAACAGTCAAAAGTGTTTCAGCTTGAGAAAACATGCTTCCCTTGTTAGGCAAACTAGCAGTAATGTTATTATTTATTTATTTAGCCCTTTATCAAGGCACAGTATAGAATAACAATAACAGAATAATGAATTGTAGATCAATCTAATAAAATTAACTCGGAATCCAGTAAGCAAAAAGTAACATTAAAAACATCCAGCATGAAAGCAATACACTTGAAATAGCATCCTGGGATAGCACTGACTATATAAACATCCATGATAATTTAAAGGACGTGTTATCCTGGAACTATCAGCTAGAATGGAGCAGCCTGACTACATTAGCCGCTAATCAAATATAAAGGTCTTTAAGCCTCCTTTATTTAGCATGGCTTGTACAGAGTCAAAGGCAAGAAGGGAGTCACAAGGCCAGATCTCTAAAAGCCTGGTATTGGGAGGCAGTGACTCTGGAATAAGGAACCAAGAATGCCCTGCAGAAAGGAACATAAAGTATTAGCAAAATTGTAGGTAGAAATGAGGGCAAACAGATATTGGAGAGTTTGTCACTTAGCACAAGCAAGAATAATTTAAACTGGGTTCTGGCTCAGATAGAGAGCTTGCCATGTTATTGAAAGATGAGAATAATGTGGAAGGTCTGCCAGAGCCCAGACAGCACTATTCCTCACTAGGATCAGGAGATGAAGAGAAGAATCGGGAACACCTGTCAGGAAGATTATTGCCATATTTAGGCATGAAACAAAGTAGACACCAATTTCGGTGCAGTCTTCTCTGCCAAAATCCTCTTGGATGCTACATATATTCATCAAATGCAAATAAAGTCAGTAAATGGACCAAAGTCAACTGGTCATCAAGCAAGACTCCAATCTTGCAGGCAGAAGAAAATGGAGCAATCCAGGAGCCCCAATGATAGTTGGGAGAATTACTAAGAAGAGGATGAGAAGGACAATTGGATCATAGAGCATTGTCATTTCAGTCCTGATGTGATTAAAAAGTCCATTAAAGGTTAACATATGTATTTTAACCTTGGTCAAATAAACCAATTTTATATTCCTTCCTTTTACTTCTCGCAAACCTGATCGTTAGTCCCTTTCTAGAAGTTGATTTCTGTGCTTCTCCTGCTGAGTTAGGGTTTTGGTTTTTTTTGGAACATAACATCCACTTTTAGATCCCTCTGACATTCTGTTAGTGGTGAAAGGTAGTTGCACAATAAAAACATTGTCTTCCCTGTTCTGTTCTTTTATTTTCTTACTGTAGCTGATATCTTTTCTATGGTGGTCTTTATAGTAATTATGGTGAGAATCATACAAGATAGTGTGGCTATCAGTTTGAATGGACTGATTAGGCTTGATAACTGAGTATTCCATCCGGGTTTATAGGTAGCATCCTTTAAACACAAGCTCCTAGTGAGCAGTAAGGAAAGTAAGATCATCCTGTTTGTGTGTCTGGGCTTCTGTTGGACAAGATGGGTGATAAGCTTCATCTAGCAGAGCAGGAGTTTCTGTTCTTAATGTTTTGTTTATTGTATTGTAAGAATTCAGCCAACTGTGGTTATTGAATAAATCGTGGTTAATGGTGCAATGTGTGCATGTCAGAACAACTATAGACAGAAGAAATGCTATGTTGTTTTTGAGGATGTTGACTTTGAACTTGATTTGCGTTTTCTGAGATTGGAGCATGTTTTCCATAAAGAAAATGGGACTATTTTGGATACTGAGTGGAATAATAATAATAATAAAGTCTTTTCTTGGAGCTGGTTTGGCAGAATGAAGCCTGCAGTACAAATATATTATTCCTTAGGTTTCTAGAACATCTGTGGTTTGATTGTTTGCATTTTGTATGTCACTTTCCTGGCGACTGGACTGCTCAGGCAACCTTCTTAAACTTAGGTAGTTTTATGGGTCTAAAGTAAAATCTAGATTTATTGCAACTTCCTTTGCACCCTATGGGTGGACAAGATTTTATACTTAGGCTGCATGTATAAATATATAGACTCGGGAGCATAAAGGGGCTGAATAAAATTATATAGAATGGTGCTACTCCAGTTTGTTGGTTTTTGTTTGCTTTTGAACTTCCTGACAACCATCTGAAAGCAGTGCTGATTATTTGCATTACAATCAACAGAGCAAAGTGCAGTTTATTTCCCACCGTCCTTTTCATTCAGCATGTTGGCAAATTCCAGAGCAGATTAATGTTAACAGTTCCCACTGCAGATACTGGAAAAAAGAACTGCAGGGAGTTTACGCAGAGTTTCAGATGCACAAATAGATTCTGACTGTTCTAAATAAATAAATCACAGTTAAAAATCGGCCGGTACCTTTGTGAGCCATTCATGTTTTTACAATAGTGCCTGTTAACCTGCTTTAACTCTTTCTCCCAGTATTCCTGCCCTTTCTAATCGTATGGGGGGGAAAATAAGTCTCCAAGTCTCTCTTGCCATTTTTCCTTCCCTGCCTCTTTCTTCCCAAGTTACAATTAAAGACTTTAAGTATGTTGGCTTACATCAGGCGCGTTCCTCTGAGAGTCCCTTTGGATTAAATTTCTCTGCATTTTGCAAAAAGAAATTGAGTGCGCTGTTATGCCCAGAACATAAAGTCAGACAGGTTAAGTGCGCAAAGCCAGTAACAAGAGGGGCAATGAGTTTAATCTACCCAGACACACACAGGACATATCGGGTATCTGGTGAGTGGGCACCGTGCAGAATGCTTTCTGTTTCTTTCTTCCAGCGTACATTATAGATCATCTCCTCAGCAGTTTCTTGCTTAAGGTTGGGAATTGGGGGAGGGAGAGGAGAATGAAGATGTGTTAGAATGTAAAGCATTTCTGCTGGGTGGCTTATTCTGCAGGGCCCCCCCCCTACCCCTTCCAGTTATTAAATGCCAAAGCCCGTTATGATTTCAGTTTGCGCAACAGCCGCTTGTAATATCCCAGAGCTCCTCCATAAATAGGCCTGCCTTCCCCACACCCAGCTAGAAAACAACCACAGGAAGCCAAGGACGTGCACCCAGCCAGCCCAACTCTGCTAGCGTTCGGAGCGCTATACCGCAGCACAGCTTGCTGGAGACCCATTGCAGGAAGAAGGAAGACTGGAGTATCCTCAATTTCCAGGAGGGATTTTGTGGCACTGTAGCCTTAGCAACAGCAGCCTCTTAGGTGATGCATTTTTTGGAAACCGAGAAGTCAGAACTTTAAAAAGTCTTTGTTCTCAATTGCGTTTGTCTTTTTCAAGCCGTTCAAGTATTAACTCTACCGATAGCTTACTCAGTTGGAGAGAAGCAACTTCTGAACGTGCTTACTCTGTTTCTTTAATCCAGAAGGTTTTTCCAGAGCAAAAGTTTTTTTTTTTAGTTTTTTTTTTTAAACTAGTGTAAGTGATCCATGAGTATCGAAGGGAGCAATTGGGGAAAAGACTGGATACTCAAAGGCTCCCATTTTTTCAGTTTGTCTACAGAAAGGGGAAAAAAGCTGCTTTGGTTTTTTGCGCTCGTGTGATTGTTGACATTTGTACTTTCCGTTTATGCTGAAGTTTGCAAAAGGTTTTTGTTTTTGTTTTTTCCTTTGGGGGGATTTGCTACAGAGCTCAAGTATGAAGATCCAGGAGCATCCCGGCGTTCCTGAAGTCAGATTACAGAGGAGCCCAGAAATTGACGGCCAGGAAGACACTTTCATATCGGAAGTGCCTCGTCTGGACTTGTCGAGCTTGTGCAGTGACAACTGGGAAGGTAGGATTGCTTTGTTGAGCATGAATTTCAGCAGGACTGCATTTTTTTTTTACTTCTCTCTCTGATTTTCCCTCTTGTTTCTGTGATGATTTGTGACAGTTTTTCCCCAGCCTGTTATTATCCAGATGTCTTAAATAGTAGCTTCTCAATCCACACGTCTATTGAATTGCACGTCTGAAGAACACTGAACTGGGGAAAGCTAATCTGCAGAAAGTAATAAACTGTTTCAGTACAAGAGCTGAGCTTTTGCTGGAAAAGATGCCACTGGGCATTCTTTTCAGAAACATAACACAGAGAAAAAGAGAAAGAAATGTTTTTGTCTTTTATCTGTCCTATTCAGTTGATTGCTAACATTTTTGTGGTTTAAAGGCAAATCAGCTAAAAGATACCTTAACACAGTGGTTCTCAACCTTTTTAATGCCGCGACCCCAACCGGTCATAAGTCGAGGACTAAACCGGTCGTAAGTCGAGGACTAAACCGGTCGTAAGTCGAGGACTAAACCGGTCGTAAGTCAAGGACTAAACCGGTCGTAAGTCGAGGACTACCCAACCGGTCGTAAGTCGAGGACTTTCCCTGCCCGGGAGCGCCACGCATGCGTGGTTCTGCCCCCTGCGCCGGCCGAGGCATAGCTGGCAAGCGGCAGAGACGGAGCAGGCCGACCACCAGCTGGCCCAGCCCAAGGGAGGTAAGGCACCCGCCGGAAAAGGGGAAAAAATGGACAAAAAAAATGGCGGACAAAAAAAATGGCGGACAGCCTTGCTTGGCGACCCCCATGAAATGGTCGATCGACCCCAAATGGGGTCCCGACCCACAGGTTGAGAACCACTGCCTTAACAAATCCTCCTATGGGGAGCATATTTGTCCCTAAGTTCAGATAATACATATGTATTGTCTGAGGGAATGAAAGCTTGCTTAAGCTGTTGTTTTTATATCCCTGCTTAACTATCTAATTTTTAAAAATCTATTCCCATCTAAAATGTGATTCAGTTAAGAGAATTCTCCCTGTCATCTTTTTAAGGATCTTAAAATCATTGATTTACTCAATGTAAATGGATGTAACCATTTCTTTTTCTGTGTAGCAAGGCAAGAGATATTTAGCATTAGCAGTTCTAACACTGATTGGATGTTTGGTTATATGAATACATACTTCTATTGTCTGCTGTGGGACAAATGATCTCTGGAGGGCCCGGGACAGAGGTTACTCCTCTGTCCTTGTTCTTTTGGACCTCTCAGCGGCTTTTGATACTGTAGACCACGGTATCAT